AAGGAGATGCGGGCAGCAAACGCGCGCCAAGATCGTCAGCCATCCCAGCCAAAACCACCAAGCTTGTGCTGTTTGTGTCTGGCCCTCCCCTGCCCCAAACACTGACGGCAGCCCGACACGGGCGATGACCTGCCAATTCCGCCCAACACTCCCAGCACTTAACAGCGCTTTTTGTTGTGGCGACCAGCCACCAACACGGTCGCGCCAAACTCGCATCAAGGCTCCCAACCGCTTTCCCACGCCTTTCCAGGCTCCTTTCCAGGCGCGCCCTCCTTTGTGCTCCTGAGAAGAGGGGCAGCCACGCCCCCGCCGATTGGTACCCTCAACAAAAACGCGGGTGTGGCGCTTCCCGGGCGGCCATTCATGGTGTTTGCGGCTAGCTCGATGGGTAGCTGAATGGAGGGGCGGTGGTAGGCTAACACCAGAGAAACGAGCGCCGCGGCGAACGTTGACGGCAACACGTAAGTGTTAAATAATTTGGCGAGGCGGGGAGAGCTCAATGGCAATCGCCACCTCCGCCTGGCAGCAGCCAGCCGGAGGGTGCTAGTCAGGGCCGCGGCGTTCGGGTGGCCGTCACTTGTTGCCACCCACAGGCGCCAAGATCGTCCGCCGTGGATGGCTTCAATCGGAGGCTGCGAGCAGCGAAAGTGGCTGGATTGGGATGCGGCGATCGGCCTCCCACTCCCCCGCGGCTTGTGACTTGTGCTGGTGGTGTCGTTGAGGTTCTGCTTGTGGGCAACGTGGTGGGCCCGCCCAGATACAGTGCGCACTGTGCGCGTCTCTGCTGTGGCTCCAAAGGGCCTGGTTGTTTGTTTGGGAAAGGGGCTTGGCATTGTTTGTTTGTTGGGAGGGTGGGATTGTGTGGTGGGTTGCAGGGCGCATTGGTGGCGCCCTCGCAATACGCTGGGCATGGGGCCCACCCCTGGTGCCCTTGCCCTTGTCTAGTGGGCCGCGCCTCCCCGCGCCACCGTTTTCAAGGTGGCCGGAGGGGAACACCTGTGGGGATTCCCCCAAGCGCCCAAACTCAGCCATGGGGAGGCTGCCATACCGGTCGTGGGGGCTTGTCAGCCGTTGGTGGCGGTTATAGAGGGCTGCTCCAATCCCTCCCCAGCACACCCCTGGCCACCCCCTCTGATCGAACCCCCTACCGCAGGATCGCCCACCCCGCTGCGCCGCAACGTGGCTCGCCTTCCTACGCGGAGGCGGGCCATGACGTCGTGGGCGCCCTAGTCGTCCACCCATCAGCCAAATCCCAGACGGCTTCCCCTCACTTCCCGCCTCGCATGACGCCCCCCATGTCGGACCAGGCGGCGCACACAGCCCTCCCCGCCCCGCCTCCGCCCGCTCGGCCGACCAGGCGCCCCTCCCACCCAAGCGCCTTGGGAGGGGTGCGCGCACTTTGGTGTTGCGGCCCCTCAACGCTAAGCTTCGCAGCCCGCCGTTTGCGCGACAAAGTTGGCAGCAAACATGGCTTTGTAGGCATGGCCCCATCAGGTCGCAGCCGCTCCTCCACACACGTGGTGCGGGCACAGTGGACGGTCGGGGAGACCTCCTTGTCGAGGCGGCAATGCCTCTCGGGCGCCCGCTCGCGCAAACAATGGCCGCAACCATTGGCAGCCATGGACGCCGGAATTGGCTCCCCATGAAGCGCGGGGGCCGATCAGCAGCGTCCGACAGTGGTGGGAATGGGCACCCGCAAGGCGCCATTGCCACAGCAAAAGTGGCGCCTTGTGGGCGCCCACTACCCCTACCCACAGGGGCCGATCAAGGAGCCCTGGGGTGGCGGCAGTGGGCGCCCGGGAGGCGCATCTCTTGCCCGGCTTGCGCCCTGTTACAGCCCACCATTTCCAGCCACAGGCCGTGGCCGATCAACGCCGCTAGAGATGCCGGGAAATGGCGGCTACACCCCCCACGACAATTGGCCTCCCCTGTTGCGAAAGTAGCCTCTCGGGGCACCTCCTCAGTGCCTCCCTTGCAACGACCCTTGTCTCCCCCGCTTCTGCCACGCCTCCCTTGTGGGTGCCAACGACTTGGTTGTAGGCGTTGGGCCGCGTTGCAAATGCTAGTGCAAGGGCAAGCTGCCAAGCGTGAGCAGCAACTGCGCGCACTCATCTGCACAGCTGGGTGTGTGGCGAGTGCCACCGTTGTGACCCAGGCACATGATGGACAATTTGGGTGGTGTGGAAAGAGCCAGCGGGAGGGGTGCGCCACTTAGGGAGAGCCTGCAAATTGAGCAGCTCGCTGCCCAACGTCCACCCCACCTATCCTGCCCCTCCACCTCGCAGCACGCCGTGCTGCTCTTCAATAGCCGGGTTGTGCCTGCGGCTATCACTTGCCCATGGCCCTTTGGTCCGTCCAAGGGCAGTTTGTCATGGCCGGGGGCCAGGAACCTCGGACGTTGCCGCGTTCTTGACCTCAAGTCGCCTGGCTCTTGCCCTGACGCGTGCTTCGCTGCGGAGGCCGGCAAACCTCGCTCGGCGGCCAGGGCGAGACGCGCCAATCGCCCACGACAAAAATTTTCTTTTGGGCCGAAGGGCCCGTGGTGGGCGTGGCGAGGCGCGGCGCGCCCGGACGGCGGCAAACTTGATTAGAGCAAGGCTGTCGATGCGCGCAGGGGCTACTGCAGTGCTTTACTGCAGTAGTGCATGCACGCATGTCTGACTTGCCTGCCGAATATTTTAAATACCGTCGGGTTAATATATGGGATTTGGAAAGTGGAATGTACGGTGATTATGGTATCTCATGTGAAAGTAAACTCTGTTAAGAGTCCATAGGTCTTCGAACCAACCTAATTGGCTTAGCGGTTGAGGAGATATGGTTAGTTGAATATCTAGTACTTTAGGGCCCTCTCCTGGACCGTATTGGGGGATGAGATACTATCGCTGGACATGATACGATACGGTGTGCTGCATTGTCACGTGGCACGCGCTGGTGGCCGCCCCAAAAGGGTGACCACCAGACGCAGTACTGTAACCGTTGTTTCCCCTGTCTCGCGCCTCCCAGCAGCTGCACCCGCGAGCCGCACGGCGCCGCGCACCCACCGCGCGCACAGCCGCCCCGCGCCCGACCATCCCTGCGGCCTGGGCCCACGCTGCGTACCCGGAGACACGAGCGCCCCGGAAAGCCCGCCGGCAATCCGGCAAATGAGGCCCCGCGGCCTCATTGGGCGCCTCGGCGGGCGCCATCGCCCGCATCGAACCGAAAACCACGCCAACAGTGAGGCAGTGGTTCGTTGGCTTGCGGGAGACCAGAGAGTGGGCCAAAAATGTTATATAAATTCACAATATGTGCGAGCACTTATCGCATGTGCGATGCTCGATCGCGGGTCCATCGCCATCACATCATGACAAAACAACTCAAGTGCACATCCATGCACCATGTCACTATCCCCCATTCACCCACGACCGACCCGTTTCCCTTCAAACTTAAGTACTAGCCCTATGTTTAAAGCCCTAAGTATTACAATTTACAGGGCCATAACTTTGCCAATTCTTAATGGATATGAGTTTTTCAAAAGCCTAGGGGCATTACGAGCTACTAAATAAGCTCACTAAAGGTTTGAAACTGAGATACTACCAATCAGCACTTCAAAAAATGTTAATTAAGCCTTACCCCAAGCAGCCACGTCACAATTCGGGTGAGTACCCAATTTTAGCAGAAGCACAATGTCCTAGGTATGTAGCCTCTAAATGTCTGCAAGATAATTGAGAACAATATGTTGGAAGTTATAAAACATTTTATATAATTGGTCGTTGGTTGGAAAGGCTTTAACATCATTGATTTTGGCTACAATGTGATGCCCCTCACCAACCGATAAGCATGTCATGATTTCTGTGTTTCTATGGTATTGATCACTCATCAATAATGAGTTTTTGCTAGTTTGCATTGTATAAAAGAAAGGTCCTGCCAAATCAAGAAAATTTGATAAGCAAAATGCAAAAACATGTGATAAGGAAGATTGAATGAGCTTTCTGCAATATTGTTGCAAAATGTATTGTCGTTTTTCTATTTTTGTCATTATTATTGTTGACATGATGATAGTGCAACAACTGACTATACACAAAGTAATTCATATCATAATGTGTCATAGTTCATAATAGAGATGTGCAGGTGCCAAAGAGGACAATTCCACAACTATTGGGAAATCGTTCATAAACTTCTTTCGTGTTGACACAACTGCAATAAACACAACACTGACTTTTCCAAGACTAGCGATACACACTCAGCATGATGGAAAGTAGCTTACCACAGATACCTAAGTACCCATAAAGGGGTCAGATTTTTTAAGACTTCACTTCAAGCTCATTTCCCCATAACCCTGCCACAAGGTTCACATGGAGTCGATTTTGCTATGAAGATTAGATTTCCTTTGCTTCTGGCGGCACACTCTGACCATCCCACATAAAGTGACTTGTGTGTTTGACAGAATGGGTGCTTGGACACATCTCTGCTCTGGCAAAAGAGGAAGCTGGCGGCTACTTCCTTGCCTTGTTGTAACTAGAAGTGACTGAGGATCATTAGCAGATGAACTCATAAAGAGGTGACGAAGCATCATAAACTGCATTTAGGGCCTTGATGAACGGACTGCATAGCAGGTACAGCACTTCTGTTGTCCCTTTGCTCGGCTGGAAACCGTCTTCGTGGACTCGAGCCTAGGGGTCGCCACCCCTCGACCTGCCTTCGTCATTTTGAAGCAAAATGAATGGTGATGGTGATGGTGAAGCCCAGGGCACGTGGAGCCACGCCATTCCGCCCCACCCACCCCACAACGCCCAAAAATGCGCTTTGCACCCCGGATCCCACCGGGTCGGTTGATTTCCCCACCGGCAGCCCTGAGGAGAGGAGGCACGGTTGGGAGAGCCACCGGGAGGCGGGCGGGCTGAGGGAGGCGCTGCGCGTGTCGGAGGCGGGGCGGGCACGGCGGCTGCGGGGCGGCGGGGATCGATCGCTGCCGCCTGGGCCGGCTGTGTGCGTCCGCGGCCGTCGGTGGTGGCGGTGAGATGGTGATGAAGGGCACCAGCAGGGCGTACAATGTGTGGACGGACAAGGAGGAGGACGCGCTGCGGGCGGGCGTGCGGCGGTACGGGATCGGGGCGTGGGAGCTGATCCGGCAGGACAAGGACTACCCGGCCCTGAAGTGAGTGCGGGATGCGCGGCCTTCGGATTGCTTTCTTTGGGTTTCGTGTCGGCATGCGGGGCTGCCGGGCGGGGCGGCGGGAAAGCGGGACGGGGCTTGGGACGCCGGATCTTTGCGCGGGTGGCGATGAGGAGGTGGCCGGGGGGTGGGAAGTGCGCGTGTTTGTGAGTGTGTGCGGACGTGGCGCGATCCGATCTTGGGGCAGGGTTGCGGGTGGGAAGCAGGTGAGCGGGGGCGGCGGGCCTGGCGGTGATCGCGCGCCCCGGCGACCCGTGGGTGGTAATCGGCTGCGCGTCGGGGCGCTGTGGCGTGTCGGCGGGCGCGCAGGGCGGCCGGGTGTGATGCTGTGCCGTGGTGCCGCAAAACCTTGCGCAGGAAGAGGAGCGGCGTGCAGCTGAAGGACAAGTGGCGCAACCTGGTGAAGTTCCGCAAGCTGAACGAGGAGGAGCTGCGCAGCCTGCCGACGCGCTCCAGTGGGCCGTGGAGCCGCAGGTGAGGAGAGCCGCGAGTGGGGAGCGGAGGATTGCGGGTGGCGGCCATCTGGACGCGCCACGTAGGTTTTGTTTCGTGAGCAGATTTTTTGTTCTCTCACTTGCGACCCGATCCAGCGAGCAGGAGCCCGCGGCCGGGGCGCATGGCGGCGCCCTGAGTGTCGGACGCAGGATTGCGTTGTGAAGTGCCCGGCGGAGCGTGGAATCTTTGCTCGCGTCCTGGAGGCAATGTGTGGATGCCCGCCGCTCTGTGGATGCCCCTTGTGTCGCGGGAGGTCTCGGAAAGCGATTTTCGGCCTGGAGGCGCGTAGGAGATCGGAAGGGAGGCCCGATCGTCGGCCGTGCTGACCGACACCTGGGCCGTTGGCGCCTGGACTGGGTTTCGCGGATGGGCACGTTTCTGTGTTGATCTTTCTGTCGTGATCGAGAGGCGGTCGGTCGGCGCAGCGGGGCTCGCCGCGGTCGGTTTCGGGGATCTTTGGCGGCGCTGCTGATGAGGCTCCCATCTGTCCTCGTGATCAGCAAGCATGGCGGCAAGGCGGCAAATTGCGGTATGCCGCATGCCGCTGCCTGCGCAGCGAGGTGGCCGAAAGTCTGACAGATGCAGTTGCTCGCGTGAGGTTGCTGTGGCACGGGTTGGACGCCGCCGATTCAGGAGGACGTTCACTACTGTGGTGGGGATTTGCCGGTTTGTGGCAACAGCCGTCCTGTTGTGTTTTTCGCCAAGTCGGTGGCGGCTGGGCCTGACGCTATGTGATCCAGCTTGTTTCACTTCGCGTGGGCGTTATATTGTCTCGAGCAGCTGGCCTGTCGACTTGATCTGAGCAGTGTCGACGTCCGACGCGTTAGAGACCCGCATACCAGGGGTTTGCCAAATGTTTTATGGCCATTCATGGCCAGGTGATATAGCGAAAATCCTACTGCCTCTACTCTGATTGGTCAGACGACACTGCCTGCATGCTGATACTCTGCCTTTCGTTGCAGACAGAAAACTTTGGCATTCTCTTGGTGCCAGGGGGAGTGGTGCCATATGAAGGATGTCTTGATATTTTTCTGTCGACGATCTCCCCCCCCCCCTAATAGCTTTTCTTTTACATCTTGGAATTCTTTACTGCACACCATTGCATCTGCACTGAAAACCACCTGTGTACCTCTGGAAAGTGCACGTTGGACACAGTCACCTCAGTTTGGCAAGAGTGACCTCTGCATCGACATTTTGACGATGTCAAGAATGCATTCAAGTTTGCTTGGAGACGGGTCGTCAAATATTGAGCAGGATTGTGATGCCCATTCTGCAACAGCCTGTCTTGCTCTGCAGCAATCATTGGCTCTTGCACTGCCCACATGGTGGCTGGATTGCTTTATCAGCCAGTATGGTTTCCCAAATGGGGGAACCCATCTCTGCGGCTGGCTTTCTTCAGGCACACTAGCCTGTGACGAAAATCAGTGATGAAAAGTAGAGCAGCAGGGCCAGCCAGCAATTGGGGCTTCACGATTTGAATTCTGCTGACAGGTGCTGCATGAGGTGCCCACAGAATGGGGACGTGGCTGATGTGGAAGGCAGTGTTGCATCCCAGGCAGATGCGGCAACAGCCCATGCGGAGCAGTCGGACAACTGCAACAGCGTAAACGATGAGGACAGGTTTGACCCGTCTGGAAAAGTGAGTGTGAACACTCATGGCTGCTAGTGCAGAAACGAAGTTCTGAGCAGGCGTCCCACTGTTTGCTTGGACAGGGAGCAGCACCAATTGCAAAATTACTCTAAGGATGTTTCAATGGTGTCCAGTTAGTACCTTGTTTTTTTTTTGCCGAGAGTTGTAGGGTAATTGGCAGGCAAAGCAGTTGTGTACCCTGATGCTGAATAAACATCAATGTGTCAAGCAGACTTATGCACAGCTTTCAACCAAGAGAATGCACTGCTGATGCTGAACTTTTGCATGTTGCTGACATGCTTGGGTGTTGTGGTGGCCAGCGACGTTCTGTACGCACGTGTGCGAGGGGGCCCCGTCGCTTTGATGAGTTTTTCACAGACTTTGATGGGGTCGAAGGAGAGGCATTGGGGAAAAGGAGGGTGTTCAGAGTGGGGCAGAGAGGCCGAGATTGCCAGAAGATGGCTGTCCGCACTGAGGATCGGCGTTATGGTAGGTTGGTTGCTGTTTCTCCACTCTTTGCACATTCTTTGTACTTTCTGCAGCCTTTGTTCACTGTGTTTTTGTGCTTCTTTTGTGCTTCTTTTGTGCTGGTTTTGGTGTCCCGGAATTTGGCCAGGTCCCAGAATTCTGCAATGTACCTTTGTTGTTGTGCTTCTGTTGCCTTTGACATCCCAGAATTCTGCAAGGTCCCAGAATTTGACAAGGTGGCTGTCGACGAGAACTGCAGCCTTTCCCCGCACTGTTTGGTGCCTGTACCTCGACATTTGCAACAGAAGGAAGCGACGGGACCCCAGCCCTGTTGTGCAGAGGTTTGATATTTCGTGATGATTTTGCCGCGACAGGCATCTATGACGTTCGGAGGTACATTCAGAGCTTCCAAGGTGGCAAAGGGAATGGGGGCATGGAGGCAGTGGCTGGTGACAAGGAGGACGAGGAATCTTACATAGTTGATTGCCCCTGTGGCGTCACATATGACGATGGGCAGATGATGATCGAATGTGAGCTATGCAAGGCTTGGGCCCACATTGCCTGCTTGAAGGCCCAGTTGGTAAGTACTGGTGTCCAACTGGCACACTCATCAAAGTGTGTGCCTAAATTGTCCTTGCGCAGTTCGTCCTCCTGAAAAGTGATTATGCACACACTGCAAAGGAAGTGCGGAACATGCCACAGAAGCCATGGCTTATATTGAGCCCCCTTCTACACCAAAGCAGCCGTGCAAACTCCAAATTGCTGACGGGACTGGTGTGAATGCAACAGGACAGCGACCTGGTCGATCTGCAGTATTGCGATTCCTACACTTACCTGTGCAACAAGTGCCAAGCGAGGAGCCCCATGACTGCTCGCTCGTCCAATGGATCAGTGCAGTCTCAAGGGTCTAACATTTCAGATGAGGACGTTTGGCACCCCTTGGCAGCATATTATGTGCCAAAGAAGCGGAGGCTGCCTCGCAGGCCCCGGGTGGACATGAAGAGTTGGTGCTCCTGGCTGCAACCTCTGGGGACGTTAAGTGGCCAGAAACGAGATGGGAAGGTCAGATATGTGGGAGGCAAGAGGCACCTTGATGAGGCCGATGGTGTGAGCGGTGTGTTCAGGATGGGGAACTTTCATGATGTGAGATTCGAAGGATTTGGGGCACGGCATGACACTGGGTATGGTGGCCCTGATATGCTGCATGAGCAGCTGATGGCTTCCAGTGGTCAGTGGAGGTACGATTCAGGTGGTGTGAGCCGTCCTGAACATCACCAAAGTTCTTTGTGAAGTCGTATCTTTAGAGTGAACGATGGAGATTGGGGCATCGCACTGCGCATTAGCATCAGATGTCTGCCTTGTGCACGCAGCTCCCACAAAAGAGATTTTCCCACGACGAGGTCCTAGTTGACTTGACTTTGGTGCGCAAGTGATGCCCAATATTGACGGCTCCTAGAGCACTGCTGTAACAGGATGAACTACACATGGGACATGAGCATTGCAGTTTGTATATATCAGATAATCCAGCAGGCCAATTTCGTTGACACTGGCAGAATGCTCAGTCATGCTTGTTGTTTCAAGATGAACAGTATGGATGTGAACTTTGGCACCGACTTGAGAGGCTGCAGTCAGATGCTTGTCAGCACCTTGATGGTGTGTGCGCTGTGCTGGGGGTGTCTGCTGTGTGTTGTACAGAACTGTGCATATTTGGTCCTTGTGCAGGCAGGTAACACATCAGCCTGCTTGCAGGTTTCTGCCACACGACCTTGCCGCCTTGGCGCTCTGCGCACAGGCTCTGCAGTGCCATCCCCAGGACATGCCCGCTGTGCCGGCAACCTCCCAGATGCACCCCATTCTTCCTCATGCCATGGCTGCCCAGTTGGCTCAACACATGGGCTTGCTGCCCCATGTCGATGCCTCATCTGCTGTACCTGCTGGCTTGATCGCGGGACCACCACTGCCAAAGAAGCTGAAGACAGAGGAGAGGATTGCAAGCAGTGGATTCGACTTTGAGGTGCGTTGGATATCCATGTTTCCAGCGTTCGATCCATGTGTTTCACATATGATGCAGCCAGGCCTGCACGATCCACAACCCATGTAACAGGTGTGCGTAACTTGTGCCAGCCTCGTGCACTCTCCCTTTCGTCTGCATCGAGTATTTGTCCGAGTCCCGTCCGATGCGCTGATTGTTTCCCACTTCGTGCGTTCCCCTGAGATTAAAGTTCCTGCCACAGAGGGGCAACTTCCTGGGCAATGGAGGGTGCTGCAAGCGCAAGGCGGAGGCATAGGGAGGGAGCGAAGCAGTCCTGCATGCATTGCACGTGTTGGGGGGATGAGTGTCAGCATTGGAGAGGGCAGGGCTGGTGGACGTCTCGCCAGGCTATTGCTGTTCTTATTTTGAGGTTAGTGGGGACGGGTCAGGGGTATGGGTGTTGGCGAGTTCGATATGGGGTGGCCGTGTTTTAGTTGCAGCACTTATTTTCCATTGAGGTCAAGGGTCACGTTTGGTTCGCTTTTGTCGCCATTGTTTCAGGCCAAGCCATGGCTGCGCCGTTCAGGGCGCCTGGAACAGTCATTCATTCGCCCTCGCAGGTATTCCGTTTGAGGGGATTCGTGGGGGAGTGCTCGCGCTTCTGTGAGCTTCTGGGACCTCAGTGAATAAACTTAGCGACATAGAGGGCAAGGGAGCTGTCTGTCGTTGGAAATTTCAGTGGGCACATGCGTCAAAGGGGCGCCGCAAGAGCTGCGCGTGGGCGCCTGTGCGTGGTGCGCCGCTGCAGAGTGGTTAAGCGCTGCTTGTGCAGAGGCGCATGTCCCGTTTGTGCCATGTTGGTAAATCGGTTGCAGTTGAAAGGCATAGCTAATAAAGATGAGTGGTGAGTGGCGGCCTGTCCGCCCGCCTGCAGATCGCAGGCAAGGGGCACATGGAAAGTCTCGGGGGCCAGGTTGTTGGGCGAGTTCCGGTGGGGAAAGACTTAGTTTTAGTTTTTCACAGTTGCTCTGCCCGTCTCTGGGAAGGGTCGCGCGGAATGCTTCGAGTTTTGGACACGGGAGGTGGAGGTGGACTGCGCGCTCGGGGGGGACAGTGGACCGGGCCCGGCTGTTGGTTTGTAGCTCGTTCTGTTGGCTGGACGCGACTGTTCGAGGTGCATCAAAGAGATTTGGCGCGCGGCTGTGAGCGCTGATGGCTGTGCGCAGGGTGTTTGGTGCCGTCGAGGGTTCGAGTTCTTGGGTGCGCCCGTACGAGCAGAGTCTGCGAGGGCACCCGTCATTTGGTTTATCTTGCCAGAGCAAGTGGTTGCATGTGTATCTCGAGGAGATAATTTATTCGACGAGAAGATATAATTTAATGTCGTTTTGATTCGTTGCGGGTGATGGGCAGGTATGGACATCATTCCGCGTTGTCGTTGTACTCTTATGTTTAAGAGAGAGGCTTTGCATGTGCATTCCAACTGTCGCCACCCAGACCTTCCCTCCTCCGGACCTTCTCTTTTGTCGTCCCGTTTCGCTTGGCTGGCCCGGCCACCTGTGCCACCTGTGTGGGAACCGGCACGCCAGTGATGGGGTGTTTCAGGATGCAGTGGTTGCAGTTTATACTCGTTGACGTGGCAAGTGGACCACACGCCACTTGCTCGGAAGCGTGTGTCCCCGCATTCCCCCTTCAAGTGCACTTTTGTTAGGAACACAACGGGTAGATAGGTGCCCTGCAAGCCGGTGTAGGGGCAGTTGCTGCAAGCGGCGGTCGCAAGGGTTGAATCGCGATGTAGGAAAACGGTACAAAGAGGGGGCCATTGCCCTCGAAGTTAATGAATTTTTCATTCGGCGGTGCCTGGGGAATGGGGGCCATTGCCCAGGCGCTGCCCCCAGTACATTGTGCCACTGTGCCCGGGTCGCCGGCAGTCACTCGCCGGAACAAACTTTGGTGGCATACACACCCGCCATCACTTGGAGCGCGCAAGGACCGCGCTTTGCCCCATTTCGGCAATTGCGTTGCAGTGCGTTTGGCTCGGAAGTCGAAACCATGGCCAGGTGAACGTATCGCGTTGCAGACGGGGCCTTGTGTAAGTCCTTGTGTCGGGTATGGGGCGCAGGGACCTGCAGAGCACAGCAGACCGACGGCATTCACTTTTCTGCCATACCGGTCTCCTTCACCCCACCCCAACCCCGTGTTCCCCACACGACTATACATTACACACACACAGTTTGGTGTCCATCACCTCCTTAATACAAGACCGGATTGGCGACCCACTTGAACGTGCCCTCGCTTCGCATAGTACTTAACGCCACCCTGATGGTGACTCAACCCAGAGTCAGCTCCCCTTTCTCGTACTCAACTCCCTCTCCATTCCCACAGGTAACCGAAACTCACTCTATTAGGGTGGGCCGGGTGGGTGCGAAACAAGATAAGGGGGGCGCCAAGGGTCGCGCCTAAAATAGCCGCTCCCACTTGCCGCCGAACTCCCCGCCAAACCCAATGGCCAGCTTGACCGATCCCCTTGGCTGCGTCCAAGGTACAAGGCTCCACCCAACTGCCCTTGGATCCGTCGGGCAGAGCTGACCCTGCTAACATCTGATTTCAATCAATCAAAACTTGGTCCAGCTGAGTCTCTCCCATCTGAATTGCCTTCAGGCCCTACTTGTAGGTCAGGCCGAAGCCTATTCCACAGAAAAACCAAAAGCCAAAGGTGAAACCACCAACCGAGAACCACGTGGGGGGCGGGTGGGTGCGAAAATAGTGGCGACACAGCGAGGTGCACAGGCTTACAACAAGAGTGCGACCTCGGCTGTGGTGAGAGTGAGAAGGTGTCCATTGACTGACGGGATGCCAAAACCAGACTGCGTGAGTGTCCTTCACAAATCGTCCCGCCCTGGCCTATCCGTTCAATTTAAACTCTCTGTACTGATCGTAAAGGCCACTTAAATGTACACTGCGGTCCTCCCCCACGCAGGCACAAAAGACCAAAGGTCTGTGCCAGAAATGAAATTGTCTACAAACATCAGACATACAAACAAAGTGTTCAATCCCTGCTAACATCTGCATTCAATCAATCAAAACTTGGTCCAGCTGAGTCTCTCCCATCTGAATTGCCTCCATCCTTCCAACAATAATGGGCCCAGAGCCCCTGCCCCAAGTGGAGACAGGCTTCAGGACGAGCCTCCGAAGGCGGGAGTAGCTTGACCAGACAGTGGAGGGGAAGCAGGTCAGCCAAGGTAGATTGAGACTGGACGGGGCTACAGATCGTCACCCGAATCGAAATAGGAGCTGGGTGAAGATGACGGAGGAGGGCCAGGGGAAGCAATGCTGGTTGAGGGAGGAGCTGCATCTTGAAAGAGATGGCCGAACTGCTGTGCCAGCTGCTCCCCCGTCCCTCATGGCCAGCCAAACATTTGGAAATCGGAGGGGGTGGCGACGTGTGTGAAGTCAATGTATTTGGTCACACTGTCTGAAGAAACTTCTTCTAGTCGCCGGCCCCTTGTCGGTTCGAAGAGCCTCGACATGCCACCGCGCTGCTGCCTAAGGCATCTGCGCCCCCCGGCCTGGTAGAAAGAGGGTCGGAGATCGAGGCAGAACCCAAGAATCGTTGGAAAGTGCCTTCAATGGCCGGTACCAAACCGCGCCTGGCCAATGCGGGGCGAGAACGGTGGCTTGGACGCACGGAAGATCGTGAAGGAGCTGAACCACGTGAGGTAGCAGAGACCATGGGGGGATTGCACCAATTGTTCTTCTCGGGCCAGTTGGGCTGGGCGAATGCATCCACGCCCTCTGACCCTACGTCGCCCCACCTTAAATTGAACCGTTCGAGTTGGTGGTTGAGGCAGCTGGCGAATCGGTCGACAGTGTGTGGGCCCCAGCGTAGATCTAGGCGCCAAAACCACGTGGGACACAGGCGCCAGTCCTCCTCATCCGTCTCCCGGCTGAGTGCGTCTGCAATCGCGTTCTCTGTTGTTGAAATCCACTGGGGCTGCACCGTAATGCAATGTGTGTCCAACAGCCACCACAGGTTGCACAGCTCGCGTTGCAGAGGTTGCGCCCTCGAGCGCCACTTTGCTAAAATGCAGCAGACCATCTGGCTGTCCGTCTGTAGATGCATTGTTCAGTTGGTCAAGTTCCGCAAGAAACACTTGATGCCCAAACGGATCGCTTCCAGCTCTTTGTAGTTGATGTGCCAAATCCTCTCCTACGCCATCCAGAAGCCTCACGCTATCAGGGGCTGGGCCGAGGTTAGGCAACGGGGATCCTCCAAGGCGGCGCCCCATCCAAAATCCGAGGCGTCGGTCACCATCGACATTGACGTTGGTTGATGTAGAAAGGCTCAACCCTGCCACCTGTCTGGAACTTGCGTCCACCAATGGAGATCCGCCAATGCCTCGCGACTGAGGCGCACTGGGGAGCTCCAGCTCTGTTTGTTCCGTAGACTGGAGAAGAGCTCGCGCAGGAAAAACTGGGCTTGGGCAATCGCCGGGGCCAAGGCGTTCGCCTTGCCGCAGAACTGGGCCACCTTCCTGGCCGTGACCAATCGTGCACTCGAGTTGTTGTTGATGATGATGTCCTTCTCCAACTGTTGGAGGACTCTCAAAGAGTCCGGCGGGCAAAGGAACATGGCCCGCCATGAGTCCACAACCAGGCCGAGATGAACCTTCGAAGTCACTGGTTCCTAGACGGATTTGGAGTCTTTGATCTCCAATCCTAAGTCGCTTAGGAGCGCCCTCACTAGGACACCCCATGCTCGCAAATTCCGCCTGTCACTTCCTGCCCCTAGGAAGTCGTCCAAATAAGGCAGGATTTTGATGAAGTAGTTCGCCTCCCACAATTGGTGAAGGGAGGGGAAATTCAAGGGAGGACATGATATGCTATCCTGTGGTGCCCTGAGGAAGGCTACTAATAATGGCAATGGACATCGCATTCATATGGCCAAACACTGAGTGGGACCTGGAACCTTAGTACCCAGTATTTTTCTGGGCCCAGCGGAGCATGGCCTATCACAACAAAAGCACAGACTTGCTCATGTCAGTGTGTACATCTCGTACTGCATGTGGTGCAACTAGTTTGCATAATGGCTGGAGTAGTTTTGTGAAGTAAAACGGACTAGAGGTGGCCCCTTCTGTCCGTCCACAACAGAATTTGGTTGGCTCCGTTAAAATTCCGTACAGTCAACGGAATCCGCGAGTGGGCCACAGAGAGAAAAATTGTTTAACAAAAACTGGCGGGGCCATATTGACATCAACATAGACAGCTACAAAGATCCACACAACCTTACAGAATGGAACCACGTGTTACGGAATCCTC